CCCCAAATATTTTTTTTTAAAGTCCACAAAACATCTATACTAAACACTTTTGCATAGTGTCTGCACAGCTACTGCAAAAGGAGAAAATTGCCATTATAATACATTTTTAATGCCAGGAGAATTGATTCTTGTGGTTTCACAGCATCCCAAACAAAGCCTCCATCCGCTCAATATTAACATACATAACTTAAAGGTGCTGTATGTACGTTTTTGACTCTTCTAAAGCATAAAAATACCATAATATGTTCGCAGATATTTAAGAAACATTTAAAGTGAACATTCTTGCTGAAAAAGGTCAGTTTGATGACCTAAAGGTGAGTAACAGCAAAATAAATTTGGGTAAACTACCATTTTAAGTGTGACCTAAAGGGATAGTTCACCTAAAAAATTCAAATATATCCATAATTTACTCACCCTCAAGTGGTTCCTAGTCCTTTATCTTTTTAACACAAAACAAGATATTCTGAAGATGTCAGAATTCAGTAACCACTGACATCCATGAAAAAAATAAAATAAAAATTATGGAAGTCAATAGGTAACGGTTACCAACATATTACAATATCTTCTTTTGTGTTCATAAGAAAAAAAGAGGTTTAATAAGTGAAGGCTAAGTAAATTATGAAAAGGAATTTAATTTTTGGGTGCACTATCCACTAACTGGTGTTTTACAATTCACAGAATAGATTAAATCTAAAATGAAAACTCTTTAAATCTAAAAATTCAAACGCTTAGCAAACTGCTATAAGCAAAAGCAGTCAGTGCTTGTGTTAGGGCAAACATGCAGCCATTCTGTGAGTGTGATATGTTTGTTTCAGCAAGGGTATGTTGATTCAGCAGGGGGCAGCAGGTAGTTTGGGCAAGGAGAAGTACAGGAGGAAGAGGAGCAGAGACAGAGAGCAGTGCAGTAGAAGACAAGCATGGCTGCTGACCTAAACCTGACCTGCCATTTTAACCCAAAAGACTCACTTTCTGTTTAGTCTTTGTGTGCTAGCTTTGCAGCATTAACATACTTGATACTACTAAATGCAGACAAATTGAAACTGTAACAGATATACACAATTCTATGTTATAGTATGTACCTACAGTGTTCTTACCTTAGTGATATAAATACAACTACATTGGTTGAGTTTAGGGTTCGCGGTTAGCCCCCGTTAATTACCCAGTGAGTGCTATTACTTTAATTTACATGTAATGTGTAAATGCAGAAAAAAAGGCTGTTTTAGTTCTCTTTAATAAACTAAAAGTTATGTATATATGTATGTGTCTACGGATATGTATATATGTATCTGTATTTCTGTAAAGTCATTATTCATACACTGTATATATACAGTTGAAGTCAGAATTATTAGCCCCCCTATGAATTTTCTTTTCTTTTTTAAATATTTTCTAAATGATGTTTAACAGAGCAAGGAAAGTTTTACAGTATGTCTGATAATATTTTTTCTTCTGGAGAAAGTATTATTTGTTTTATTTCGGCTAGAATAAAATCAGTTTTTAATTTTTCAAACACCATTTTTAGGTTATTATTATAAGCCCCTTTAGGCAATTTTTTTCTTCGATAGTCTACAGAACAAACCATCGTTATACAATAACTTGCCTAATTACCCTAACCTACCTAGTTAACATAATTAACCTAGTTAAGCCTTTAAATGTCACTTTAAGCTGTATAGAAGTGTCTTGAAAAGTAGAAATATAATAATAGTCAAATTTTATGTACTGTCATCAAGAAAAAGATTAAATACATCAATTATTTAAAATGAGTTATTAAAACTATCATGTTTAGAAATGTTTAGAAAAAATCTTCTCTCCATTAAACAGAAATTGGGGAAAAAAATAAACAGGGAGGCTAATAATTCAGGGGGGCTAACAATTCTGACTTCAACAGTATAAATGTTGATTTGAATAGTTTATTAATCGTTTACTATCTCATTCTGAATGATTCTAAAAGCCATCAACTACTCTGAAACACAAATGGTTTGTAAATAATGCAATACTGATTTTAGTAATGAACAATTTATAAGTCAAAGTATGAAAACACAATCATTTAAATGTGCTTTTAAGTAAAGAATACAGCATTTGTAGCTGCAGTTATAAACTGCTCACTAACATCTATTAATGTAGAGTTAATGCTTAACAAATGATGAATGAACTATTTGCTAATAATTAATAGATGATTCATATTGTGCAGTTATTATAGTGTTACGGACATGTTTCAAGTTTTCACTGCATTTTTCATTAATCAAATGCAGCCTTGTTGAACAAACAAAAGAAAAATTTAACTCATATCATCCACTATACAATCTATTTACCGATTATGCACCAAATTTGTCCATTTATCAACAAAAGAAAAGTGAATGTTCTAAAATGTCTTGATTCTTCAGCATTAATATTTACACATGTATGCACTGTACAGCAGCCGTCTGTGTTAGACAGGCGGGTTAGAGCTGAAAACAAACACAACAGGAGTTTATCGAGTGAGGCAGCAGGCAGGGGAAACACAGGATGCACAAAGGATTATCAGGAGAGCAAGGTCTCTCTCTGTCCCTTCCCCTAAATGAAAGGCCCATGGTCAGAGCCGCCACTGGGGCAAGAAAGAGACCACGATCCTCAGCCAGACTGCAGAGAGTTAGACAGAAGCTGAGCCCTACAGACCCACTGATCAGTATAATGACTGGATTGCTCACTGCGTTCTAAACTGCTGTATTGAAGTCACCGGAAATGTTCAAGCGGCCATGTTGGTATTACTAAACAGGACAGGCTCCAATGCTTGTATTCTAGTGCTTGTATTCCTATTCAAATATAAGCCACTGAGAAGCTTGCTGGTTTAAAGGAATAGTTCACACAAACAACCGATAATTCAGTCATCATTCCCTCACCCTTTTGAGCCCAAAAGAAGTTTGTTTGAAGAGAGCTGGAAACCTGTATCCATTGAATTCATTAGTATTTGTTTTATTATGCTAGAAGTCAATGGTTACAGGTTTTCAGCTTCCTTCAGAATACTTTTTAGTGTTCTACAGAAGAAACAAACTCATAAAGATCCACGAGGGTCTACTGCATCACAGGAAGCATTTAAGGGAGAGTGAATTGAGTGTAAATTTTCATTTTTGAGTAAACTATGCCTTTAACATGAAGTTTTCCAAATCTGTTTATAGGCTAAGTTTAGGCTCATGAAGTTATTTATGATCACATTTTAAGATGTTTTTTTTTTTTTTTTTTTTAAGCAAGGAGTAGCACCTATTGGAAAAAGATTATAAAATAACTTAATCTACTTAGTGTCCAATCACTTTTCCACCACCTGACAGTTTCATGAAGCCATATAACACTTGAATAGACCATGAAGAACCTGGAGAGACGTTTAAAACAGAATGTCCGCTGCTAGATGATTCACAGTCAAGCTAGCTATTATGTCTGATTATTAAAGGTCTAAATTAATATTAGTTTGCTAGGAAATGTTACGGCATGTTGCCTTGGAAAATAACCAAAGAAAAAAAAAACTATTTAAATAATCAATGTATTTTACATTGATTATCAATGTATTAGTATTAAAATTGAGCGAACAAACAGCTGTACAAATCACAAAATAATAATAATAATAATGATAATAATAATGATAATAATAATGATAATGATTGATTATAAAGCGAGTTTGACATGCTGTCCTGGGAGAGACCCCTGAGCTCATAAGATTCTCAAACCCGGGGCTCCCTCCCGTTTGCAAGGCGAGAGGGGAGTTTCAGCTCAGGTAGATCTCAAGAACTCCCCTGCTGTAGTTGCTAATGAACAGATAGTGATTGCTCTTAAGAGATTTGCTCTTAACTACTTACTAGGTGCATGTCTATGGTGCCAATTTGGATTAATCAATTAACTTAAGTTGCATGTTTTAGGACGGTGGGAGGAAACCGGAGATCCCGGGGGAAACCCACGTGAGCAAGGAGAGAACATTTAAACTCTGCACAGAAATTTCGGCTGGTTTGGTAAGCATTAGAACCAGTGACATTCTTGCTGTGAGGCAACAGTGCTAACCACTGGGCCACCTTGCCACCCATCTAGGAAAGGAGGAGGAGTAGGGGTGAAAGGGGGGATTCTTCAAAACACAGATGGCTGTTATATGGAAACTAGGGTATTTATAGTGGCTTAGGAATCATTTGATTGGTGAATCTTAAATTAAATAATGCGGGACCAGCTGCAAACAATTAAAAGCATGTGATCCTCTCGAAATTAGTTTAAATAAATAGATAAATAATATAGAATATAAATAAATAGATAAATGAATAAATAAATAAAGGTGCAGCCAGTCGTTTCGAGTGTGTTTTTTTAAGTGTGTGTAAACCAGCAGACAAATGATGTGATGAAGACACACCTGCTAGTCATCTCATTAAGATGATGCAGAAGTGTGTTCCAATTTTTATACATTCTTTTTACCCCTACACTTTATTCAACTCTGAAAACTGGACTGACACAATTTCAATTTACTATAATCTTCTATCTTAGGCTGCTTTGACAAAATAAACATTGTAATAGTGCTATAGAAATAAAGATGAATTTAATTGAATTTATTTTAAAGCTGCAACTTCGAAGGATTTGAGCTCTTCCCAATAGAACGCATTGCCTATTAAATACTCAACTGTTTTCTTTGTTTAAACATAATAAAATAATGCAATACTACCACCTGCTGTTAACCAAGACCAAATACATCCTTCATTCATTCTGCACGATCTTCTACTAATGTCTACTAATCACTTTGTGATGTTTACAATACGTTAGTTATTTCAGAAGACAAAGTGAGCATAGAAGAGAATACCAATATGGCGGCAAAGTGGCTCCGCTTTTTATGTAGTCCTGAGCAATCCAGTTCTATAATACAAATCAGTGTTCAAATCTAAGCATAACTCCCAAAGCCTAACGGGAAGGAGTGAGATAGGAAGTGTGAATCTGTCTCTCTGTGCAGTCTGTCTGTGTGGCGCTGTTCTTGACCCTGGTGCTGATCGCATGGCACAAACCTGCAGTTGGTGGCGGGGCCCGCCGTGGGGAGCACAGGGCAAGTTCTGACGGGTGAAAAAAGAGAGGACATATCAGTAAATACCTGACCACGCTGCCACATCTGTCTCTCTTACGTTATCACAGACTGTATGAGCACACACCGGCAGCTCATGCTAACCGCGCCTCCTAAACTGAGAATATGGTTTCTTGTGTTCCGTCTGGGCATGCACTAAATTCCAGGGGTTTCATTACCACGACGTAAAATGGGCGTGGCTCGGTCGGTGTTTGGGAAACGCCCGCTTAAAAAAAAAAACAATACTGAGAGGTCACCGATCATGCGCAGTACAGGTTCTTTTTTAGCGCGGTCATTTCAAACAGGATGATTATGGATAAAGAACCTACCGCGGTGGATAACGAAGAAAAAAACAGTCATACAGGTTATTTTTTTGTTGTTATAATGTTATATTTTAAAGATTTCATTAGCAAAAACAGCTGACCTCGTTTTAATCCGTATTACTCCGTTTTACTGTCTCTGGGCTTTTGTACTTCCATTTTAAACCAAATAATAATGGTTGTGGTAAGATTAACCGTGTTTTTGTAGTTTAAAATATGATATTCAGTCATGTTTAAACAAATAAATACCACATTTTCTGTAATAAATCTTGGTTAATTTTTCTTTCTCGATCTTAGTTAACTAACATAACTCATATTTATTTTCTATTTTTATTTACAGTCATCATACACAAAACAACTGAGATCAGGACAGATATCTGATGTTAACTAATATAAAAGTGATCATACATGAAACCCCTGGGATCAGGACAGGTATTTGATGTTAATACATATAAAAGTGATCATACATGAAACACCTGAGATCAGGACAGGTATCTGATGTTACTGTATATAATATAAAAATGATCATACATGAAACCCCTGGGATCAGGACAGGTATCTGATGTTAACTAATATAAAAGTGATCATACATGAAACCCCTGAGATCAGGACAGGTATCTGATGTTACTGTATATAATATAAAAGTGATCATACATGAAACCCCTGGGATCAGGACAGGTATCTGATGTTAACTAATATAAAAGTGATCATACATGAAACCCCTGAGATCAGGACAGGTATTTGATGTTACTGTATATAATATAAAAGTGATGATACACGAAACACCTGAGATCAGGACAGGTATCTGATCTTACTGTATATAAAAGTGATCATACATGAAACCCCTGAGATCAGGACAGGTATCTGATGTTACTGTATATAATATAAAAGTGATCATACATGAAACCCCTGGGATCAGGACAGGTATCTGATGTTAACTAATATAAAAGTGATCATACATGAAACCCCTGAGATCAGGACAGGTATTTGATGTTACTGTATATAATATAAAAGTGATGATACACGAAACACCTGAGATCAGGACAGGTATCTGATGTTACTGTATATAAAAGTGATCATACATGAAACACCTGGGATCAGGACAGGTATCTGATGTTACTGTATATAATATAAAAGTGATCATACATGAAACCCCTGGGATCAGGACAGGTATCTGATGTTACTCTATATGATATATAAAGTATTTGACACAAAAGCCCTGGGATCGGGACAGGTATCTTAAGTTATAACAGTATTAATGTAATCTGAGAGGTATCTTAAGTTAATTTGTTTAAAATAACATACACTGACTTCACATGAAACACATGACAGCTATTTTGTACTGCATATAAAAGGTACTGGACACGAAACCCCTGCAAATACGTACAGGTATCTGAATCAAACGGTTGTTTTCACAATCTGCGCATGATCCGTGACCTATGCAAATTCACAGATAGGCCACGCCCACACGATGACGTAATAGCGGTTACGCTGTACTGAAACCCCTGGAAAAAAGTGCCTGCCGTTCTGTCTGTGGTGCCGAAATTTAAAGGTGAAGTGCGTCATTTCTTGGTGCCCCTAGTGGCCATAAATGGAACTGGTAAAGCTATTGGCAAATAGACCGCAGAAGCATTGCTGCACTTCCAGTTCCATTGTTAGCCAAAGTGTTTTATTATTATTATTATTATTATTATTATTATTATTATTATTATTATTATTATTTAATTTAAATGAATAAAAATGTTTATTCATATAGATATTTTCATGTTTTATTCTGTGTTATAATACACACCAGTTAAACTGGACCAAAATATTTTCCAAGTTCTAACATGTTTTGAAAATGGAGTTTGCTAACTAGTGGCTAAATAGGACTACAGAGTTTTCCGGAGACATTAAAAGAGTCATTATATGATTTGAATACTTAATTTAATATGTAATAATGTTGTTTGAGTTTGAAAAAGGTCTCTTATAAAGCCCAAAGTCCTTTCCCAGATGAATTACTCTGGTAAGCATTGCTGTTTCTGAACTTTCTCAATACCCTGATTGTAGTTTTTTTCTGCTAAAGAACAAAGTACTTCTCTTAAAGTAGTTTGAGGGGATAGTTCATCCCAAAATTAAGATTGTCATCCTTTACTCTTTCTTCACTTATTCCTAACCTGTTTGAAAAAAAAATAAATAAATATATATATATATATATATATATATATATATATATTTATTTATTTTTTGGGGGGTAAACTATCCCTTTAAACCCTACATTTAAATAATTTCTGCACAAGGCAAGAGCAAAAGTTTAAGGGCTGACTGGATTAGTAGTGTTTATGTCCAAGAGATGACTTGTTTACAGATTATAGTATGTGATTATGTGATTATAGTGTGATGCTGCTGCATTCAATGATATTGACCAAATATGTGAACAAATGATCTGAAGTGAAGCAAAGATTTCCTGTTCTCAGAGACCAAAGAACATTGTGTAAGGACCCTGTCAAATGAAACATGATTCTTCACGATTTTCTTTCTGAATCAGGTGCAAATAAATTCCAAAATATGCAGAGCGCTTGAGTGAGAAGACTAGAATTCAGAACCACTACAATAAAGTCCTGTGACTATAATTTGTTTATAGTCAAAATTGAAGCCTTTTACTTAGGCCTATTGTTTATAGGCCTTGCTTATTGCTGTGCTTCATTGACCAAACAAGTAAAAATCATAATCTTTTGTTGCTCTTTTTTTTATATTCAAAAAATTCAATGATAAAATAAAACAATGATAGTGGGAAATAAAATGCATGCAATAAGTTCCATCCTGCAGGATGTTGTGCCAGAAGCCACCATGTCACATTATTACTAAAACCTAACATCAACAAGCTGGTACTGCTAAGATGCACAGAATTTTTCTTAAAATACAAAATTCTGGTAACTCTTAAAGAGTTTGCAATAACTATAGGTGCTACTCCTTCTGGATTATACATGCTTTTTAAAAACAATACAGTATCACTAGGAACCGTTACCATTCCAGAACCAGCTAATACGCCTATTGAGGAAATTTGTTTTGCTCTAAAGAAAAAATAAAAACTATAAAATAAGAGCCCTGCTCCATGAAAATATTGTCTTTACCACTCCTGCTATCTCACGCTGTAACAGTCTTTTAGTTCATTTAAACCATGAAATTTTATGGTCTTTAAATTATTACATAACATTTACCCAGTCAAAAACGTCTTAAAGAAAAGATCTGGATCAGACTTTGATACAAATTGCTCCTTTTGTCAGAATAACACTGAAACTCTTACACACTTCTTTTGGTCATGCAACTATGTGTTACAATTTTGGCAAGATGTTAATTTATTTATCTGAAATATTCATAAATTTTCAACATCTGGCGACGCAGTGGCGCAGTAGGTAGTGCTGTCACCTCACAGCAAGAAGGTTGCTGGGTTGCTGGTTCGAGCCTCGACTCAGTTGGCGTTTCTGTGTGGAGTTTGCATGTTCTCCCTGAGTTCGAGTGGGTTTCCTCCGGGTTCTCCGGTTTCCCCCACAGTCCAAAGACATGCGGTATAGGTGAACTAGGCTAAATTGTCTATAGCGTATGAGTATGTGTGTGAATGAGTGTGTGAGGAAGTTTCCCAGAGACGGGCTGCGGCTGGAAGGGCATCCGCTGCGTAAAAAACGTGCTGGATAAGTTGGCGGTTCATTCCGCTGTGGTGACCCCGGATTAATAAAGGGACTAAGCCGAAAAGAAAATGAATGAATGAATGATTTTTAACATCTGCTTTATAATAAACCTTATTCCTTTTTATGCAGATTTTACATTCATATATGTACATTTTAGAAGTGTAAGTCAGTAATTATTTCATTCATACAAGAGATTAAAAATTACTTACATACAATTCCAGATTCACTGAACAAGAAAGCACTCAAAACATACACAATTTGCACGACCTTTATTATGTATAATCTATTCAATCTTTAAACTGCTGTTATCATATTATTTTTCCGTCTTCACTTTCAATTTCTTTTCTATTATATATCTATCCTCAGATTAGATGACCTATAGATATCTCTTTAATTTTTGTTTGAATTCAGTTTTTTTTATCTTGTTACTCATTCTTTGTTGGCACCACTGTAAATAATCTAATGATTATTATTATTATTATAAATGATGGGTACCAAATATATTTTTCTGTTATAAAATAAATGTTAAAAAAACGTAAGTTAAGCTGATTAGCATGTGCTAGTTGACCCCTGCTGAAAAACTCTAAAACTACACCATCGTCATTAATGGATTATTTTAAATGATCATATTCTGTTACAAAACAAACATTGGCAAGCATGATTTTGTATTGGAGGGTTATAAAAAAGCGATAGAAATGTTATAATGTTCTGCCTTTGCTCACCAAGGCTGCATTTATTTGATCTTATATACAATATTACAGTTATTTACTGATGCAATTCTAAGCTGAAAATCTATCGTCACCACTTCAGTCTTTAGATCCTCAAAAAAGCATTCTAATATACTGATTTCCAGCAAAAGGAATGTTTCAGAAATGGAGATTGATCAATGCTTAAAATGGTTGTGCTGCCTTTTCTTTTTGTAAAAAAGACTACTTTCAGTGTCCGCATAAAGCTAGCACAGCACAAAGTATAGCCACAACAAAAACATGACACACTTCACCTTTAAGTAAGATAAGCTAGTGAAAACATTCTCAGATCCGAGTCTACAGTGATGCATCCCATGTCGTCTGAATGGGTCACTGGAGTCCAGAGCAGCCACAGCCTCAATCTGACACTTATCAAACATGGCACCTCAACACTCCGAGGGCACATGCGCTGTTATTCTGTAAGAGTCAGGAGGAATAATGCGCGCGCCGGGCTGGACTTGGCCCAAAAACGTCTGGGTGAGTTGTGTTTCTGCCCTGCCTGCAGCTAAAGATGACCTCTGCGTTCTGTGAGAATCATGTGGGCTTCAGTGCCAGTGTTTGGTCAGGAGGAGCTGATGGACACACTCACCCTCGGGCCGGTACTGGGCGATGATGGTTACCGTCTGCCCTGCTCCCTTCAGCGCTGCCGCGGCTTGTTCGTGAGTGGCACCTCGCAGATCGATTCCATTGACCTGAAATCAATCACAACCAAGATCGGAACAGAGTTTAAAGGTCTCCTATTTTACCCCTTTTACAAGATGTTAGATAAGTCTTTGGTGTCTCCAGAATTTGTTTGTAAAGTTTCAGGTCAAAATACCCATCAGATTAGTTATTTATTATAAAATGTAAAATATGCCCATTTTGTGCTCATATCAAAGAGGAGCTGTTTTTGCAGCCTGTGCCTTTAAATGCAAATGAGCTGGTTCTCCCCGCCCACCGTTCCCACATGTGTTTTTTAAACTTAGGACAGATCTTTTAATCCTAGTTTCTTTGCAAATCCTGTTCTGTGGGCATGTTTATACACTTTACTATGGTGACATGTTAATAAGCACCTGTCAATCAATTTGATGGGCGGGGAAAAACCACACTCCTAAGTCACGTTACAGTTGGCCTCAAAGTTAATGGGATTTGGATCATATTTTAGCATCAGGAAATTCAAAAATAGAGAATTGTTGTGTTTATGTCACTCCAGTATGACTGTGGACACACCACACCTACACACAGCTTTGTCAAAGCAGCTTCCAAAAGTGGATTTTGTATTACAAGTGCCCTTTATTTGCTTTTGAAGTTTCATCAAAAACACATGTTAAAGAAATGATTAATGATTGTTTCTTATTGCTAATCATACAGGGCTCTATTTGCACTGGTTGCACCAGTGCGCCCCAAATTGTTTTCTAAGGTGCACCAGAATAAAATTTAGATGCACCCATTTTTTTTACCGCATCACAATTAACAACACAGTTAAAAATACCATACCATAGATTTAACATACAGTTCTCATTTAAGATGCCATATTGTCACATCCAATAAAAACACTCAAACACACAAAATAAACCAATCATGAGCTGTTTGTATATTGAGGCTTTTGTGTTCATGTCTAAGTGCTAGTTTCAACAAGCGGTTTATGAAAGACGATTGGTCTTCACATTTACGTCAATTTGTGCACATTTCACATAGGAATAATTAACCTCTACTCTATAAGTAATATAATCGGAAACAAAGTTAATATGACAACATTTTCTGGAATCCTTTCAAGAGGTGGACTGTCCAAACGGTTGCCGCCAAACCCCGTTATTATAGCTCATTACCGAAAAGTTGACCTGATACCAACTCTCCTTGACACTCAGGGCCCTATCATACATCCGGCGCAATGTGGCGCAAGGCATGACGCAATTGTTGTTTGCTAGTTTCAGCTTGGCGTAAGAGTCATTTTAAAGTTTACTGCCACGCTGTTTAAATAGCAAATGCATTTGCACTCATATGTGCACACATAGGCGTTCTGGTCTAAAAAAGGAGGCGTGTTGAGGCGCATTGCTGGCGCGTTGCTATTTTGAGAAACTATAATAGACTGTTTAATAGATCAGATCAAAGCTGGTCTACAGTCCAGTGCAGAGCGTGTTAGTTGTGCGCCTTGCTTACGCACTGCTTAATACACACAGGATGGACAGCAATATGCAAATATATTTACATATGAAAAAGAATTAAAGGATTAAATATCACAAAAATTAATATTTTCTATCCTAAATATAAAAACCATACTTTCATGCCTTCTTCATTTCGGGGGGCTTTTTCAGTTTCATTTATTTATTTTTTTTCCGCTTAGTCACTTTATTAAAATATATTAATATATATTAATATATTTTATCTGGGGTCACCACAGCGGAAGTAACCGCCAACTTATCCAGCATTTGTTTTACGCAGCGGATGCCCTTCCAGCCACAACCTATCACTGGGAAGGCTTTTTCAGTTTATTCATAACAATTTTATTTTGTATAATGTTATAATTATTAGCAGTATTATTTATTATGTGCAGATTTATATTTGTTTGATTAAAAACAAGCTTAGATTTGTCCACCTGTCAGGTTTTAGACTACATGGTGCACAGCATGTGTATTTGGATATAACTGTTTTTTGACCACACTTTGTTATTATTGTTCATTTATTTGTTTGCTGGAAATTAGAAATGAATTTAGAAATAGTTTTGAAACAAATCTTTGTGCTAAACAAACGAAATTTATTATTTATAGGCTAATGGATGTCTGTGCACACAACACGTTTCCCTATCCATGAGAGTGAAAGTGAAAGTAAAATATGAAGAGGCTTATCTCTCATTCTTGCCTGTAGATGCTTTGTTTAACTGTTTTCTCTCTAGTGAAACGCTCGATTTTACCACTGACGAAGTCTGTCATGTAAATATCAAATGCGCTATGGTGCGACTCTTGAATGAGAGATGAGACTCTGATTGGTTTATTCTCAAAATACACCTATAACTCATTAAGAGAATAAGCTCAACCAACCCTGTTAGACCATGTACCAATGCGCAAAGCGGATTTTTCCGTCCTTAAAATAGCAAAAGTGGATTCTGACACGCCCTTAATGCTTTTGTGCCTTGCACTTTGCTCATGGATCATCAAAATAGAGCCCTCAGACAGTCTAAAATGCGCCGTACCACTCTAGCCAGAGTTTACCGTCGGCTGCCATTGAAAATGAATGACTTCTGGGTACACTGACATTCTTGTCAACGATAGTTTTTAAAAAAATAATTAAAAATGTGAATTCATTTATTAATTTGATCAAAAATAAAATAAAATAATAAAGTAATATTGTGAAATATAATTCAAAGCTTAATTTACTTCAGTTTCTAGTGTCACGTGAGTCTTAAGACATCATTATAACATATAAATTAAATATAAATAATACATAAAAAATATTTAATATATAAAAAAATAACATATAATAACAAAAAACATGGGGCTAGCACTGTCACATCACAGCAAGAAGTTTGCTGGTTCAATTCTCGGCTGGGCCAGGTGGCATTTCTGTGTGGAGTTTGCATGTTCTCCCTGTGTGCGTGTAGGTTTCCTACGGGTGCTCCGGTTTCCCCCACAGTCCAAAGGCCTGCATTATAGGTGAATTGATTAAACTAAATTGGTCTTAGTTTATGTGTGTGAATGAGTGTTTATGGATGTTTCCCAGTACTGGGTTGCAGCTGGAAGGGCATCCTCTGTTTAAAACATATGCTGGTAAGTTGGCAGTTCATTCCGCTGTGGTGACCTGTGATGAATAAAGGGACTAAGCCAAAGGAAAATGAATGAAGGAATGAATTTAAATATATAATCGCAGCCTTGGTGAGCGTAATAGGCTACTTTTAAAAACACAAGAAAAGTCCTACTGATCCCAAACATTTGACCTGTGGTGTAAGTATACCTTAAGCCTGCAATCCTGTCAGTATTAAAGCTCTCTGTTGAATTTCTATTTAAAATTGGTTAACTTTTAGAACATTCGCTTGCTGCAGAGAAGCCTGGAGTGATCTGGCGCTAGAAAGGCCTACTGTGATCCAGACGGCGTTTGAAAATCCTACAGTGGAGGATCAGTGGGCGGCAAAAGCCTGTAGGCCAAAGTCTGCAACAACTGGACCACAAAGTAATCAGCGAGCTCCTCCAAAATATGACTTTAGCTATGCTGTGTGCATCATAAGCTCTGTCTGTGATCCAAACTGTGGCATTTAAAGATCAAGCAGGCTGAGACGGGTTGTATTTTACTGACACATAAACCTGAAGCAGGTGTTGTAGTCAAACGTTGTTAAAGTAACAGTATATCTCCCAAAAAAAGCAATGTTAAAGGATCAGTTTACACTCAGTAAGGAGTAGAATTCAGACTTTTTGACTTCAGTAAGACAATGAAGATTTTTTTTGCTGAAATTGTGGTCTTTGCTGATTTATAAAATACAAGCAAACAAACAAACAACGACAAAAAAAAAAAAAAAACAATATTTAATCTCAATTTATATATTTTTCAAATACTCTCACTCTTAAAATTAATTTGCAGATAATAAATATACAAGAACCACAGTTTAGCAGAAAATAAACCAAAATGTTGTTTTACATTATTGACTATTTCTTAAAAAAGTGCAATCATTTGTCTTTGTTAAAATTTTTTGCATATTTATAAATTGATAATAATTGTGAGAAATATGCATAAAATTACTGATCATAAATACATACTTTAATTACTGTTTATATAATCTCAGTATCTCCCCCTTATTGGACACTTTTATTTGTGGAATAAATAAATCATGTTTGACAACCAATTTTGTGCATGTACAAACCTTTTTTTTTAAAGCAGGCAACAGCTTATTATTCAAAGGTTTAAGGTCGTAAAGTTTTTTATTTTTTTTTATTTAAATTAATATAACATTAATCAAAAACACAAAAATATTGTAAAATATTACTGCAAATCTACTACATTTTAGAATGTTATTAAGAACAGAAACTTCAGTATTATTAATCTGATCTTGAATATCACAAAATCCTAAAAGTCTCGATTTTATCAAATAAATCATTCTCAATGCTTAATCAAAAAACATTGTGACTACTCTTTAGCTAGCATCATGCTAAACAAGGAGGTTATCCTAAAAGAGTAGCCTAATAATTGTAAATATACAAATTAAGGTTACATTTTCATTTTAATGTGTCCTTGCTACAGTGTAGCTTTTCATGCATTACTGGGTATTAATAATTAACTAAATGCACTAACTATATGTCTACAGCATAACGTTGGTATGTGAGGATACGGTTAGTACCATGTAACTGTGTAAAGTTAATTGTACAGTCAGATATTTTCAAGCTTTAAAGGGGTGGTCCAGAGTGTATTTTTAAGGCTTGGTTGTGTTTATAAGATGTAATGTGTGCTCATGCTTCATTTGTAGAAAATCAAGTAATTTTTTCATATATCTTACTTTGATTATGTACAGTTACTCAGCTAATATGAAAACGCCTGTCATATCTCCTAGTTCCTCCGAAAGAATGTGCTCTGATTGGTCAGCTAACATAATGTGCTGTGATTCGTGGATCGACTCCACGTCACCAGGAACATGTCATGCCTCTAATAGCACGTGCTGTGCCTCTGCTGTGTATATCCTGTCAGCCAGAGTAGCTAGCCATATCAGTTTGAGCCTGAATCAGACAGAAAATGAAGAGGAAACAGCTGAACCTCATACCTGCTCTCTAAAATAAAATCTGCTAAGTGTCTTTCACATACATTCTGGTTATAAGCATGTGCAAGTAATATAAAGTGTTCACATATCTTTTGCAAGTTTGTTATTTGAGATGTAGAACGCAGGGAAAGCTGCTGCATAGAGAGACACTGCAGCGCTAGTGACGATTGTGTGTGTTTACAGGGTTTTTTTAACAGATGAATGTAAATTTGTAGCTAAATCGTTACCGGTGCCAAACAGCATTTCACATTGTTTACATCCTTGTTTACGTATTTGCTACAACATACCATTAACGCTAGAAATTGTGCATGTAATAGATAAATTTTAACAAATTAAAACACTTTCAGGTTGTGGCTCACAATCCACAGCTTCTTCTATCTTGTTTGGAGCTGCTCCTTCTTTAAGGAGATTTCAGTCGAATCCAGCTGCCTTTTGTCAAATGCTAGCTATATATGTTTTTATAATTCTCTGGAACATAGTTAATATTCAACTGCAAGCACTTCTCTCTTTGTGTTGTGTCCTTTGGAAGCCCAAATACAGAAACAGAAGAAGCTCTGTGGAAATAGCAGCATTTGGACGCCATTTTAGCTTTCTCTGCTATAACACTACAGCCCCTCTGACCACGCCCCTACGCTGCGCATGGTGAATGCACGTAACCTGAAGCATTTATGATCTCACGGATGTAGTCCCTAAATTTTGTTCGCTGTAGGCTTTGCTAAGCCAACTCTGTAAAAGCCGATATCTCCCTTTTCATTGAACTTGAGTGTCTTACATTCAGAGACGTTGTTTATGTTCACACAGCAACATTACACATCAACTAAAGTTTAAAGCAAGACATCGTAGTTGACATACAAAACAAATTATGTAATTTATATCATTTCGAATCAAATTCTGCAACGAAATATGATCTTGTGTGACACCAGGTTTAGGACCACAAACATAAGTCAACATGAGATCACAGCAGTATCGTGGGAGTGTGTGCGTGTTTGTGTCTCTCGGGGTGCCTCGAGCCTGTCCTAATGCTCATTTAACAGTGTGAACTCAGGAGGTGCACCACATCTATTCTTAGACTCCAAATCAGGGCACTACATTATCTGTTCCCTCCCTCTCCATTTCTCTGCTCTCTCTTGTTCTTTCTGCTTTTCTAATCAGTGTCCTGAGGAGGCAGAGCGTGATTGCTCCCCATTCAAGTGGCAGTGACAGTAATTGCGGCAGGAATCTGGATGGAGGGTCTGATTACGACCACTGCAATTTGATGAAGCTCTGATCAACATAAATGATGAGATCAGTGACAGGAAAGCAGCTTCTGGAGAGGATCGCTGTTGTGGATTGTTTCACTGAGAGGTGTAATTAAAACACTGCCAAAAAAGTTTAGCCGTGTTTCTGGGGTAAAAAACTTGTGTGATGAGAAATGAAAATCCAGATAAAGGAATGGTGGTGAGTTAAGAATAGACTCAATTTAAGGAACAAAAAAAGAAAGTGTTTTTAGGTTATGATCTGTAGGGTTCACAAAATAATGTAATGGCGCCCCCTGCTGTTCAGCATATGTTTTGCACGATTACTTGAGGAGACCACTTAAGCTGTTTTTTGTTTTATGGATCTGTTATTAATCAGTACATTTTGAGTAAAACGTTTTTAAAAACATTCAGAATTCTAAATACTCTTTTTTTTCAGAAAGTTACAATATGTCAATATGTATTATTCCATGTTTTCTGACCGTAAAAGTTAAGGAAATGTTTATTTATAGTACAATATTAAGAATCAAAAAAGATGTTTGCTCTTTAAATTACTTATATAAAATCAGACGAAACAACACAATTCTTGATTTTTTTTTTGAACAACTTGAATAATTTTTAAAAAACTAATTAAATACTTAATGTTTGCCCAACCCCCCCCCCCCTCTAAAAAAAAAACAAAAAAAAACAACAACAACATTTTTTTCACAGTGATTCTTTTAACTTAAACTTAAAGTTAAGAAATACATACTTGTTGGAATAACCATGATTTTATATCACAACAACTGAAAATGTATGTTATACAGTTTAAATCAGAATTATTAAATCCTCTTTGAAATTTTTTTCTTTTTTAATTATTTTTTCCAAATGAAGTTTAACAAAGCAAGTAAATTCTCAAAGTATGTCTGATAATATATATATTTTTCTTTTAGAGAAAGTCTTATTTTATTTTCTTATTTTTATTTTGGCTTGAAAAAAGCAGTTTTTAATTTTTAAAAAAACATTTTAAAGTCAAAATTATCAGCCCCTTTAATCTATATATTTTTCGATAGTCTACAGAACAAACTATCATTATACAATAACTTGCCTAATTACCCTAACCTGCCTAGTTAACCTAGTTATGCTATATATATATAGGGCGATGCAGTGGCGCAGTAGGTAGTGCTGTTGCCTCACAGCAAGAAGGTCGCTGGTTCAAACTCGGATTAATAAAGGGACTAAGCCGACAAGAAAATGAAATGAATGAATGAATGAATATATATATATATATATATATATATATATATATATATATATATATATATGTGTGTGTGTGTGTGTGTGTGTGTGTGTGTGTGTGTGTGTGTATGTGTGTATACATATATTTTATTTTTTCTCCATTATTTAAAGTCCAAAAACATTACATATATTATATTAACCTTTTGTTATTTTGTGCAAATAAATGATCTAAATGCTAATATACTTATTCATACTACTGAAAACAATATATTTTTTATTTAATTATTAATCTCTAAACATTTAGGCCTGCTTGACCAAGGATGCCCACAACTGCAATACTTAAATAGAAAAGTTGAAGAATCAAGGTCATAAATAAAAATCTGCTAATAATATAATTTGAACATTATACGTAAAAAGTCTATTCCAAAATAGTGCTAAGATTAATTTTGCACAAATGTGAAATATATCCCTGATCTTTGGGGCATATATTTTAACTAACAAATGCTAAACCCACATTTAAAAAGCACCGCCGCACCCTGTGATGATGACTCTGACATTATCAGCTCATTTATACGACAAACTGTTCAACATTTGCGTTTATTTTTATGGTGTCCACTTACAGACAGGATCTGGTCTCCTCTGCGCAGTTCTCCACTGAGGTCGGCAGGCCCTCCAGCCAGGATGAAGGAAACGAAAATGCCTTCTCCATCTTCTCCTCCCACGATGTTGAAGCCCAGTCCGGTGGAGCCCTTGTGGAGAACGATCTTCCTGGGCTCCCTGTACACACAGTTCAGATAATACATGAGCTCAGAGTCCGTTGGGCTCAGCATCTCCACCGATGGTGTAAACATACACACGATGCATGCACACACACGCAGACGCGTCCACACTCCTGGGTCTGTCCAAAACAGTCTACTGTGCAGTCGAGCTACAATGGCTGACACCTATTGGGGGCTGCTCCACTTATGAGCTTATTTGTCCCATTTCTGACCGGTTTCCTAGGAACGGAGAAGAAGCACGGCCTTACACTCACACACGCTTCATCCAGTATATACTATGACAGATAGTATGCGTTACTGATTATATTTAAAAATATGGCATATGGATAGTATTAAATATATATTTTTTGAAATTTACTATTATGTCCTCATAAAATAATTTTTATTTTTTATTGAAATAGTGTTTATTATCAAAATGTATTTAAATAAAATTCACATGTTGTCAATTTAAAATAACTTTAAAAATATTTGGGAATTTTATCTTACGTTTTAAATAAAATCCTTTACAATTTTAAATAAAACAGATTGCTGATCTTAATAACATAATTATAACATTATATCACATAATAACACTTTAATTTAATTACATGGATTGTAATTCTGTCACTTTCACCAAGTTAAACTTAAGACATTTTAAAAATATTTATAAATTAAATTTTAGACTTAACCAGGGCTAAATGCTAAGGATTGTTCTCGGATATGAAGGGTGGAAATGATTTTATCTTGCCCTATCAAACATGATTATACTTTAATACATTTAATAATACAATAATAATAAATTAATAATAAATATATAGGTCAGGTCAGTATCGTCAGCAGTAAATACATGGAGAACTGTTAAAACAAATATTACTGTAAAGAATGTAATTAAAGGCTTGTTTTAAATAAAAAGTTACAAGTATTTTTGAGATTGGGATTGTTGGATATTGTATGAGTGTTATGGCCAGAATGTGTAGCTATACGTGAACAAATATAAATTAACACCTGGTAAATAAAGATTTATGACCTACAACACAACATTTCAATAGATCTAAGATTTTTATAAGATCTAAAATTTAGCTTTTGATATTTAAGACATTTTAAGACTTTTTAAAACCTTGCAGATCCCCTTAATACGATATGAAAACTCTGTATTATCAGAATACTAATTTGAAGTGTTTTAATATACAATTTGGCAAACTGCACTATTAAACATGAAATAAAAAAATAAATAAGAATTCATATACATGTTTAAATTAATTAGTTTAATATTTAATGGTGTTTTAGTAATAAATAATACACCAAGGACCAAACATTTGTAAAAAAAAAAATAATAATAATAAATAAATAAATAAATAAATAAATAAATAAATAAATAAATAAATAAATAAATAAATAAATAAAAAGTAAGATTTGTATTTATTTCAGAAACAGAAAACAGTATAATTGTTGTTTTAAGGATTTTGTTTTCGATTTATAAGCTTTTTATACATTTTAAAATTTATTTTACTGCTTTTGATTTTACTATGCATTATTTATTATTTAGTGCATTAAAACAATATTTTACATTTACATTTACATTTAGTCATTTAGCAGACGCTTTTATCCAAAGCGACTTACAAATGAGGACAAGGAAGCAATTTACACAACTAAGAGCAACAATGAATAGGTACTAAAGGCAAGTTTCAGGTCTGTAAAGTCTAAGAAGGGAAGTGTTAGTAGTTTTTTTTTTTTTTTTTTTTTTTTTTTTTTTTGTACAGTTAGTGTGATATTCAAATAGCAATTGTAGATTAGGAAGTGAATATTTTGGCCTGCCACTTTAAATGCTCAAGGGTGGATTCTGATTGACTGATTTTATTATTATTTTTTAAATATTCTGTAATTTGTAAAGTTCGCTCACTCACTCTCCTTCAGCTCGGTCCCTGATTAATCAGGAGTTGCCACAGAGGAATGAACCACAAATTACAACCCAGTGCAGGAAAACACTCATAAACACTCTCATTCACACGCATTCATTCAATTTATAAAGCAGGCCTGTAGCCAGCCGTTATTTGACTCATTTTCTATTTAATCATGAAGAACTGGCCAGTACATTCAACTGTCCTCAGTCTCAGAATTTGGCTATTTGAATAGTAATAAAAAATAAAAATAAACATAATAATAGTAATGCAGAGCTTCACGATTTTTCTAGCTTCTCTTGTAAAAACAAAGTACATTTGAAAATTCATGAAAAGTATTTAAGAGGGGCCATATTAAGGTTTTTTGAAAATGAGCTTCTGTGCAGTGTGTAAAACAGCTGTGAAGTGAAGTGAAATATCCAGCTTAGGCCTAAATCTGTAAGTGTTTTTTAAAGAAAGGATGAGAAAAGACTATATTGGACTTTGCAGAGCTTGACGGGAACTTTACAGTACACAGTTCATGGATCAGTTTCTTCCTCCATTTTACAAGTGTAAGTAAGTGTGATTGAAATGGTTGCCTCTTTGTTATCTTTAGCTCGCAAATTATGTATTTAATTGTGTTTTGTTACTTGTAATTGCTAATACTGGATCTGGTTAACTCTTTATATTCTCATATCGTGTCTAAAGCCACGTTGAAAACGCGACGCGTACTGTTTTGTTTATATATTTAAATGCGTTCGTGAGCTCGCGACCCTCTGCTGTTTGTCGTTACTATGGCCATCGTCAGCTGTTCCTACACACGTGCGGCGGTCAAGTTTCAAAATAGTTCAGCTTTTTTAGTTAAGATTAGAGCAATATGCTGGTGTTGGGTCAGGGGGTGAGGTGTCTGATTAACACTGTTGAGAACCGGTTACTCTGTACTGTGGTGTTAGTAACTGTACTATCAAGCGTGGTTCACGCGGCCGCTGTGATCTGTTTCTATACCAAAGTTGGCAACCCGGGGTTTCACAGACTGTACCTAAATGCTGAGGACTGAGGTTTGAAATTACGGGAGTTTTCAGAGAGAAATAACAAAACAGGAGGGTGGAGGGAAATGGGTCTGCAATACAGGAGACTCCCAGGAAAAACGGAAGTGTTAAGAGGTATGCTCACACATACACTCTCCCCTCTGACTACTTCAAAATTGTTGATAAGCCATGCTGGGCATTTCTCTCTGTATTATCGAATCCCAGACAGTGCTGAAATGCAATCCAAACAGTGTTCGAATGTTCCCAAAAAGTCGGATCCACTTATCTCGAGCTCTTTTAGTTAGTCACAGGATCCTGACAGTGGGCCATCATCCTGTCAAGTGTGACCAATCAAAGCAGCAGATACCCTGAGCTGTGACACGTCTGTCAGATACACTTGAAATGTGGCCGTACACAATCTGTGAGTTTACAGATGATAATGCAAACAGACATCACTGGAGATGGAGCTATTCTAGAACAGAAGGCTAATCCGTTAGCACTAGCTTCTCTCTGACCTAGTTATGAGGCAGGCAGGCCTTCTTTCTCTCTCTCTGCCACTTTAACATCTTCCAGCACGTCTGTTTGACTCCAAGATGCTCTTCAGGCCAAAAAGACAAACAAACTTAACCAGGCTGCAGCATACCAAATGTGAACATGTTGGTTTTTACACGGATTTGTGTAAATTACACTGCATTTAACTATATTATGAACTGTACTTTACTGTAGGAAACTTATGGAGTATGTTATTGTATTTTAAAGTTGAATTGTGTCTATTTTACGGTAACAATATACATACAATACTGCAAATACATATACAGCAAGATATAGTCTGCTGTAAATGTAGATAGCCAACTGCTGCCAGTAAGTTACTGTAGATTCTACAGGAAATTGTTAATGGTGTATAATCATTACAGGGTAATGCAGGTTTCACCAGGTCAAATTTAACACTTTTAAGACATTTTAAAGAACATTATGAGTGCAGACTTATACAGGGTCAAATGCTAAGAATTTTTCCTGATCTAATGGCCCAGTTGGTAACAGCAGAAATGATTTTTGCTTGCACTATTAAAATCAACAATGAGTTATTTCTTAACCACATATTTTAAACAGTGCCAAGACAAGCAAACCTTGCATAAATACTCTTTTCCCCCCAAGATAACCTTAAAACTATTGTTGTGAAAAGAAAATACAAAGGATTTTTTAAAAACATATTTTTTGTCTCATTTTCTTTTCATTAAACAATTGTATTTGTATTGCTTAAAGGTGATATATTAACTAAACTTCTGTTGAATGTGATATGCTTTGCATACTAATGAAGCATTTTTGCAGAAGTAGATGGAGCTGATAGAGATGCAAAGGCCTGACTGTTTAAAATTAACTTGAGCTCTGCAGCTAAACTTCCTGTCTGCATAAAGGTGTTAAAACTGAAAAGAACTTAGAAAAAACCAAACCAAGTGGAGGAAATCTAACTGTATGCTTTTAATGTTGAGCAGAGAATTCATGGAAAAAGAGGATGTATGTATGGGTGCGGCCAATAGAGGACCGGAGAATGATTGACAAGTGACGAATTTGACTAAACTCTACCTGTTATTATTAGCTGCTTATATGAGTTGAAGTCAGGGGATGAAAACTTTTGCATTAAGGATACCACAATTCTGTGAATCGAATTATTTATTTGTATCCAATAAATTACTAATATGTTTGACAGAAGAAAAACCTCTCCTGACCTTTTTTATTGAACACAAATGGAATTGATTAATTATTCTGTTATACCTAAATATATGCACAACAGTTTATCCAGGTCAGTGTCCTCACTTTACTGTATATGGTCAAAGAACACACAGAGAACTTTTAAACAAGTATTATTGTAATAAAGATAATTAAGCCATATTTGTTATAAAGCTATTACATTACGCTATCATAATATTAGTTACTTTACATGGATAAAGAAAAAATAAGACCCATTTAATATGATTTAAGACCTACAACACAATAGTTCAGTAAATTTAACACATTTTAAGGCCTAACATTTTGTGAAATTTTAAGAACCTACGGAAACCCAGCATTACATGAACTTCTATATAAACCGTGCCAGCACAAGACTAACTGGTTGC